CCCCCCCCCCCCCCCCCCCCCCCCCCCCCCCCCCCCCCCCCCCCCCCCCCCCCCCCCCCCCCCCCCCCCCCCCCCCCCCACCCCCACCCCCCCCCCCCCCGCTTCTATCCCAAAAAGTGGTTAGGATATATATGATCAAGCTACATATACCATGAAGCTTTCAAATGATTCGGATGACTTTTGAATGAAATATAAATTCTTTAGTTTCGGATGGAAATAGACTAAAATCAATTATTCCGTATAAGTAAGTATTCATCTGAGCTTGAATATATGACTTTTTTTCGAAATCAGATATTACCATCTCACTCACTATGACCAATAACCGCTGTCCTATGTGTTTTAAGTTTAAGGTAGTGAAGACTAACCAAAAATGAAGATCGTAATTGATTCGTGCTCTAAAACGCTTTGAACTATCTTGCCGTGAACGCAAACCGAAATATTCTCAAGTGCATTCTCAAGTTATGCAAAAAGTATCGCAGGATCTTCTACTTTTCCAGTTGGATACATACCCTCATGAGACAAAGTAACTGATGAAATTTCATTTGTAAATTTTCAAAATTAGCTTGATACATGTGTCGTAAATCATAACGGCTATCTTGCATTATTTTGCACAGCAACATAAACGCTTGTTCTTCAGGCATCTTGAATGAACATCTTATGTATCTTAGTATATGAATATAAGACAATTTCGGATACATACATGTATTAACAATGTAGCAATAACAAACGATAAACCTTGACAATAACCAACTTCTTCATCAAGAACAGAATAAGCCTAGGAGATAGAAAAAACGATGGTTCTGTACTTATATGAAATTTTGTTAATGAACCTACTTTACTCAGATTATACAGAGCCTCTTGACCAATTCCTCCAACTTCTTTGAAATATTCATGTGCAGGAAATGTACGATTCAAATCATTTAATATTATACGTTCAGAAGCTGAGTTCTAAAATAAAGATAAACAATGATACAGCTTTAAGAACTTTACAAAAGTAACGACATCCTACTTTTGTCAATAATAATCTGTATGTATTAATCATCTCAGTTTCATTTCCTATACTACCGGCTAATAATTGCCAAACTTGTCCACGTAGTGTCTCAGGAATTCCTGCAAAAGACTTATTCATTTTCTTAGTTTTATTCTTTCTTCATATTTACCTATTATAATTAGTGCTTGTAATTCTGGTGGTCTCTCATTATTATCTTTTCTCCATTTTGATAAAATATCATTCCATTTAACTAAAATACCCTCAGCGCATTCTTTACTAACATCACCAAAACCACTGGCCATTGGTTCTTCATCATCATCCGATGAAGTTTCTCCTTTAGAAAAGAAACACAGTTAACATCTCGCCTCTGTGTAAATCTTAACACAAAGCATAGTATACTATTTTGTCAAATTCATACACCTAGACAAGAAAAGGATACAAAAA